GGTGCCCTCCACTCTGGAGGAAGGAGGTTGGACTTGATACTCCTTAGAAATCCCTTCCAACTCTATAAACAATACACTCTATCACCTATTATCTCTCTATCTCTCTATCTATCATCTATCTATCTCTCTATCTATCTCTATCTATCTATCTATCTATCTATCTCAGTTCTTGTGGGTTTTTTCGGGCTATATGGCCATGTTCTAGAGGCATTTCTCCTGACGTTTCGCCTGCATCTATGGCAAGCTTCCTCAGAGGTCATGAGGAAGACCTCTGAGGAAGCTTGCCATAGATGCAGGCGAAACGTCAGGAGAAATGCCTCTAGAACATGGCCATATAGCCCGAAAAAACCCACAAGAACTGAGTGATTCCGGCCATGAAAGCCTTCGACAATACATTATCTATCTATCTATCTATCTATCTATCTATCTATCTATCTTCAGGATTGGATTAGATGGTTCTTGAGGTCCCTTCCAACTCTATAAACAATACACTCTTATTGCCTATTACCTATCTGTCTGTCTGTTTCTATCTCTCTTCAGGGTTGGACTAGATAGCCCGGGGTGGGGGGTCCCTTCCAACTCTATAAACAATACACTCGATCACCTATTGACTATCTGTCTACCTGTCTCAATCTATCTATCTGTCTGTCTGTCTGTCTGTCTGTCTGTCTGTCTGTCTATCTGCCTGTCTTCAGGGTTGACTAGATGGCCCTTGGAGGTCCCTTCCAACTCTATAAACAATACACTTGATCACCTATTAACTATCTATCTATCTGCCTGTCTTCAGGGTTGGACTAGATGCCACTGAGGGTCCCTTCCAACTCTATAAACAATACACTTGATCACCTATTAACTTTCTATCTATCTACCTGTTTCTATCTATCTACCTACCTACCTACCTATCTATCTATCTATCTATCTATCTATCTATCTATCTATCTATCTATCGGGTTGGACTAGATGACCCTTGGGGGTCCCTTCCAACTCTATAAACAATAGACTATTGCCTATTATCTATCTGTCTCTCTGTCTGTCTCTATATACCTATATTCTGGGTTGGACTTAGATGGCCTTTGAGGATCCCTTCCACTTCTATAAATAATCTATAAGCACTCTATCAGCTATTATCGACCTATCTATCTGTCTCTATCTATGTATCCTCAGGGTTGGACTAGGTGGCCACTGAGGGTCCCTTCCAACTCTATAAACAGGAGACTCTCGCCTATTATTTATCTGTCTATCTATCGTCAGGGTTGGACTAGATGGCCTGGGGGAGGGCCTTCGAACTCTATAAACAATACACTCGCTCACCTATTATCTATCTACCTGCCTGTCTCTATCGATCTATCTGCCTGTCTGCCTGCCTTCGGGGTTGGACTAGATGGCCCTTGGGGGTCCCTTGGATCTTCTCAGACCCTCTTAAAGGAGATTCCACTGATCCTATAAGACTGTGGGCAAGGAGGAAGCGGATACTAATGGAGAGCCTAGGATGCCTTTCTATGTACTACTCAAAGAGAAGACTGTGGCCCCTTAAAGAAAGGATATTCTCTGGGAAATGATGATGGAACGTGAATATGTATGTATGTCTATTTCAATACATGAATAAATATTAAGGTATATGAGAGGGAGGGAGGTGGGGGGAGTCTCCCTCTCGGTCGACGTTTCCCAAGAGGTTGGGTGGGCATCTGTTGGGAGGGATTGGGTGGTGCCGAAAGAAGGGGGTTGGACTGGATGGCCTTTGGGGGTCCCTCCCAGTGTGTGTTCTGAATAGAAAGGTGGGGGGAGTGAGGGAGTGAGGGAGGGGGTGTCCTGAGGATTCGGGGCGGGGTCTTTTCCCTCCTCCTCCTCCTCCTCCTCCTCTTCTTCCCCCGAAAGGCAAACAGCCCCCTCCCCTTCCCAAAGGCAGGCAGCCTGACACTCGGCCCTCTGTTCAGCGGGACAAAGGCGCTCCTGTCCTGCCTGGGAAGGAAGGGAGACCCCTCCTCACATCACACCCCAAAAACACACCTCCGCAAAGGCAGCTCCTTGCTTACAGCATCCATCCCCCCCCCTCAAAAAAAGACCTCTAAAGGAGCAAAAAGGGGAGGAAGCAGAGGGGCTTCCCAATGGAGACCCCTCCCCAAATAAAGCCCCCTAAATTCCCTTCAAGGTGGAAGTTATTTCAAAGCAGGGGGGCACCTAAAGAGAAGGAGAGGGAAGCCCAACTTTATCCTGCTCTGAGTCTATGCTTCTGATTTGGGGAGGGGGCAAACCAAAGATCCCCCTTCACATAGCGAAGAGCCCCCCCCCCGCCTGTGCTGTCCCCTGAAGGAGGGTCTCTAGGAGAGGGGGGACAAGAGGAAGGAGTGATTGACATCCAAAGGAGCTTCCCTTGGCTTAGTCGCGCTGACAGCCCCCTCCCCACATTCATCCCACTGCTGCGAACAGGGGAAGAGTAGGTCTTGATTACAGGCAGTTTCCCCCCACCTTTTCGGGAGACCCCAAACTCAGCCTCTGAGCCCCCCTTGATAGGAGGGGAAGGTCGGAGCACAGCATTGGGCATTGAGACCCGCTTCAGCAGCGTATACATCATCCCCATCATCCCAATCCACTCGCAGCAACCCGACCATCATCTTCATCTCTTTAGCCCCCCAGGTCTGGCTCTTGGAGACCCTTAAAGCCCCTCCCATCCCTGCCAACCCAAAAGAGGGCCACCACCATCCTCATCCTCATCACCACCTACATCTCATCCCTGCCAACCCAAAAGAGGACCACCACCATCCTCATCCTCATCACCACCTACATCTCATCCCTGCCAACCCAAAAGAGGACCACCACCATCCTCATCCTCATCACCACCTACATCTCATCCCTGCCAACCCAAAAGAGGACCACCACCATCCTCATCCTCATCACCACCTACATCTCATCCCTGCCAACCCAAAAGAGGACCACCACCATCCTCATCCTCATCACCACCTACATCTCATCCCTGCCAACCCAAAAGAGGACCACCACCATCCTCATCCTCATCACCACCTACATCTCATCCCTGCCAACCCAAAAGAGGACCACCACCATCCTCATCCTCATCACCATCTACATCTTATCCTTGCCAACCCAAAAGAGGACCACCACCATCCTCATCCTCATCACCATCTACATCTCATCCCTGCCAACCCAAAAGAGGACCACCACCATCCTCATCCTCATCACCATCTACATCTTATCCTTGCCAACCCAAAAGAGGACCACCACCATCCTCATCACCATCTACATCTTATCCTTGCCAACCCAAAAGAGGACCACCACCATCCTCATCCTCATCACCATCTACATCTTATCCTTGCCAACCCAAAAGAGGGCCACCACCATCCTCATCTTCATCACCACCTACATCTCATCCCTGCCAACCCAAAAGAGGACCACCACCATCCTCATCTTCATCACCATCTACATCTCACCCTGCCAACCCAAAAGAGGGCCACCACCATCCTCATCCTCATCACCATCTACATCTCATCCCTGCCAACCCAAAAGAGGACCACCACCATCCTCATCACCATCTACATCTTATCCTTGCCAACCCAAAAGAGGGCCACCACCATCCTCATCTTCATCACCATCTACATCTCATCCCTGCCAACCCAAAAGAGGACCACCACCATCCTCATCTTCATCACCACCTACATCTCATCCCTGCCAACCCAAAAGAGGACCACCACCATCCTCATCCTCATCACCACCTATATATCATCCCTATATATCATGTGAGTTGCCCTTGGGCTTGAGATACAGCGGTATACAAGAATAGTAAATAAATAATAAATAATCCCTGCCAACCCAAAAGAGGACCACCACCATCCTCATCACCATCTACATCTCATCCCTGCCAACCGAAAAGAGGGCCACCATCATCCACAACCTCATCACCATCTACATCTCATCTCTGCGAACTCAAAAGAGGACCACCACCATCCTCATCCTCATCACCACCTACATATCATTCCTGCCAACCCAAAAGAGGACCACCACCATCCTCATAACCATCTATATCTCATCCCTGCCAACTCAAGAGATGTCCACCACCATTCTCATCACCACCTACATCTCATCCCTGCCAACCCAAAAGACCACCACCACCCACAACCTCATCACCATCTCAACCAGGCATGGGCCAACTTGGGCCTTCCCTCCAGGGGTTTGGGACTCCAACTCCCACAATTCCTCACAGCCTACCAGTTCTACCAACTCTTGGAATCCATCTACATCTCATCTCTGCCAATCCAAAAGAGGGCCACCACCAACCCCATCACCACCTACATCTCATCCCTGCCAACCCAAGAGATGTCCACCACCATCCTTATCACCACCTACATCTCATCCCTGCCAACCCAAAAGAGGACCACCACCATCCTCATCCTCATCACCACCTACATCTCATCCCTGCCAACCCAAAAGAGGACCATCACCATCCTCATCCTCATCACCATCTAAACCTGCAGGTGGTGGTCGTCTTTTAGGTTGGCAAGGATCATCTCAGATGCCTTCCACCCCAGGCTCTCAACTGGGCATGGGCCAACTTGGGCCTTCCCTCCAGGGGTTTGGGACTCCAACTCCCACAATTCCTAACAGCCTACCAGCTGGTGGAAACCAAATAACCCGGAGGGAGGGCTTGAGTTGGCCCGTGCCTGGTTGAGAGGCTGGCTGGCCACCTGTCAGGAGAGTTTGGAGGGTGCCCTTCTGTCTCCCAGACCCACAGCCAGTGTCCATCATCCCCCCCAATGCCTTTCCCCAAAGGAGAGCCTCCTCCTCCTCCTCAACCTCTTCGACCCCCTCCTCCTCCTCCTGCCTTCCTGCCTTGCCGTCCCATTTAGAGCTCATTCCGTCCAGGATCTCAAAGGCTTTCCCCCATCAAGGATGCAGCCCCCCACTCCTGCCCATCCCCTTTGCCTCCGCGGAGACCCCTACCCTTTGCCCCCCCCCCCATTCTGCCCCACGCCCCTTCTTCTCCTTCTTACCTGGAGCCCCCCAGGAGGGCGAGCTGCAGAGGAGAGGCAGCAGGAGGGATAGGAAGATGAGGGGCCCGGGGGTCGCCATGGCCCAAAGGAGGAGGAAAAAAGGGGTCCTTCAGTGGCAGCAGCAGCAACCCATTCGGCTCAGGCGGAGAGGGAGAGGGGTCGGCAGCCAAGAAGAAGGGCAGAGGAAGAGGAGGAGGAGGAAGAGGCTCTCCTCGACTGGCTCTCTTCGCCTCGCCAGCCGGCACTCGCCCCTCGCCCCGCCCCCACGCCCCGCCCTAGACACGCCCCAAGGGACTCCCCAAGGCCATCCAGCCCAACCCCTCCCCTCCCAAGAAGGCACAGCCCAAGCCCTCCCGCCAGAGGCACGTCCAGGCTCTGCTCCTAAGGCACTGACAGAGAGGGAGACGCCACTTAACTGCAGCTGGGAGGGAGGGGGCCCCAAAGGCCAGCCAGCCCAACCCCCTTTTAAGGAAGACACAATCCAACCCCTCCCAATAGAGGTCCATCCAGTCCTTGCTTAGAAACACACAGGGGAGGCTCCAACAGGCTCCCACACAGAGTTGGAAAGGACCCCCAAAGGCCATCCAGCCCGACCCCTTCTAGGATGCAGATTCCTGGCGTTGGAAGGGATCCACAAAGGCCATCCAGTCCAGCCTCTTTATACAGTCAAAGCCTTCCCGACAGAGGGCCGTCCAGACTCTGCTTTGAAACCCCCAGGAAAGGAGACTCAACTGCAGGCATCTTTGGGATCCTCCAAAGGCCATCCAGGCAAACCCCTTTTTAAGGAAGACACAGTCCAATCCCTCCCATAGATGTCCATCCTGTTCCTGCTTAGAATCATAGAATCAAAGAGTCGGAAGAGACCTCTTGGGCCATCCAGTCCACCCCCATTCTGCCACGAAGCAGGAATATTGCATTCAAATCACCCCTGACAGATGGCCATCCAGCCTCTGTTATGTTAAAATGCAAGTAACAA